CGGAGCGTGGTGCACTTCCAGCGGGAGATGCTCCGCCGGCGGGATGAGCAGGAGCGGCGCCTGACGGCCGGGACGGCCCTGGAGCCCAAGTCGCCGGAGGAGAAAGGTACCGCGGGACGTCTCTCCGGTGTGGGTGACTAAAGAGCAAGTTCTCCTGCTCGGTTCCTTCCGTCGCCTTGGCAGAGCTAGATCTCTTGCGGGGAATGCCGAGCGCCGATCCCAGATTCCCCCCCCCCGTTTCCTCCCCCCCCCTTCCAACAGCGCTCCTGAAGCTAAAAGTCGGCGAGGAGGAAGACGAATTGGAGGCCGACCCGCTCCAACGCACCGGACGACCCTTCGGCGGACTCGTCCGGGATGTCCGTCGGCGTTACCCGAAGTATCTCAGCGATTTCCGAGACGCTCTGGACCCTCAGTGCCTGGCGGCTGTCATCTTCATCTACTTTGCCGCCCTCTCGCCCGCCATCACCTTCGGGGGGCTGCTGGGTGAGCCACAGGGGGGGCAAACCGGAGAAATTGGGGGACACCAGAGAGAGGCAGGGATGAACCGCAGCTCCCCTTTCTTCCTTCTCCTCCCAGGCGAGAAGACCGAGGGGCTCATTGGGGTCTCCGAGTTGATCATCTCCACGGCGCTTCAGGGGGTCGTCTTCTGCCTCTTGGGGGCTCAGCCTCTCCTGGTTATCGGCTTCTCGGGGCCCCTCCTGGTTTTCGAGGAAGCCTTCTTCATGGTGAGTTGGGACAGGGGCCTGTCCGGGACGTCCGATCGGCCCGGAAGAGGGGCATCCGCTCAGGCTGCGGCCTTTCGATCGAAGGCCTGGAGGTTCGGTGGTCTCCCGATGCCGCGGCGGCATCCCCTCGGACCTCCGAGTCTCCTTCTCCCTGGGGGGCAGGATTCGGGCGGTTCACAGCCCTTTCGGGGGGGCAAAGGCGTCTGCTCGACGGGAGCCCCGTCGTCGACGCTGGTTGACACCCTTTTTTCCCGGCCCCGTCGGCAGTTCTGCGCCTCGCACGGCCTGAAGTACCTGGTAGGCCGCGTCTGGATCGGCTTCTGGCTCATCCTTATCGTACTGGCCATGGTGGCCTTCGAGGGCAGCTTCCTGGTGCGCTTCGTCTCGCGCTTCACCCAGGAAATCTTCGCCTTCCTCATCTCCCTCATCTTCATCTACGAGACCTTCTTCAAACTCATCAAGGTGAGTCGGCGCGGGGGGGGAGAAAAAAACTCCCGCGACGGAGAGAAGAGCTAGATCTCAAGCGCTTAAAGGGATTTTGGAGGTCACTTAATCCAAGCCAACACCCCGACCCCGGGGACGCCTGAACCCCTTCCATTTGCCTTCCTCCCGCGCAGATCTTCCAGGCGCACCCCTTGCACGGCTGCGGGAACGCCACCCTCGGCCTTCCGGGACACGAGAATGGGACGATCGGCCGCGATGCTTCGGAAGTGACCGGTCAACCCAACACGGCCCTCCTCTCGTTGGTCTTGATGGCCGGCACTTTCTTCATCGCCTTCTTCTTGCGGAAGTTCAAGAACAGCCGTTTTTTCCCCGGCCGGGTGCGTGGCCTGTCCCGGGGCGGCGGGAAGGATGGGGGGGCGGTCTTCCGCGTGCGGCGGGGAGGTTTATGGGAGAAGAGAGAGAGAGTTGTCGGCCGTCGGAAGAGGCGCTGCGGGGTTCCGACAGCCCTCCCCCCGCCCCGCCGCGCACTCAGGAGGCTCCTGTGGCTGAGCAGATCTCTCCGGGCAGGTCCGGCGAGTGATTGGCGACTTCGGCGTGCCCATCGCCATCCTCCTCATGGTGTTGGTGGACTCCAGCATCCGGGACACTTACACACAGGTAGGAGGGCTTCCTCGACGCCCCGCCGAGGGAGGAGCCACCGTGTAGCCCGTCCCCATCCCCGTCTGGCTCGTCGTGCCCGGACGAACCTCGGTTTAGTCCTTGAGTTTGGACTCAGTCGTCGTCCACCCCGCCTGTCTTTTTTTCTCCCGCTTTGTCTCGTCATCCCGTCACCCCCGCCTCCGCCGCCGTAGAAACTCTCCGTGCCCAGCGGCTTCTCGGTGACATCCCCGGAGAAGCGAGGCTGGGTGATTAACCCCCTGGGCAGTAACGGCGAACCTTTCCCGGTGTGGATGATGGTGGCTAGCGTCCTGCCCGCCGTCCTGGTCTTCATCCTCATCTTCATGGAGACGCAGATCACCACGTGAGTCTTGCGTCCGGGCCCGGCTACCCGACTCCGCCAGGAATTGGAGGGCACGTAGGGAGAGGAGACACACGCGTGTGCGGCAGAGGGATTTAACCGGGGTAACCACCTCAGCTCAGCTCGACGGCGCTCCGGCAGAAGGTAAGTTTGGGGAGCGGAAAAGCGGCGTTTCTCCAACGCCGCGCGTCGGCTTTGGTGCCTGCGCGGGTGTTTGAGTAACACCGGTTTTTTAGCTCCCAAACTTACCTTCCGCCGACGGGGCGGAGGGAGGCGAGTTCGAATGGATCGTGCGAATGAGCGGTCCGAACCGGCGGAATCCGACCCGCCGTCGCTTCTCCCCCGCAGGCTGATCATCAGCAAGAAGGAGCGGAAGCTCCAGAAAGGCTCCGGCTTCCACCTGGACCTACTCCTGATCGTCGCCATGGGCGGCTTCTGCGCCCTCTTCGGCCTGCCGTGGCTGGCGGCGGCCACGGTGCGCTCAGTCACCCACGCCAACGCCCTGACGGTCATGAGCAAGGCGGTGGCGCCGGGGGACAAGCCCAA